GTAGGGTGGCGGTGGGGAGCCCTGCACAGTGGGGAGCGCAGCGTGGCAGTTAGCCCTACCCAGGACATCGCACACTCAGCCGTATGTGCTAACTTTAGTTAGCACTTCCATATTACCTGGGGTGGAGCCTCACTTCGTGCTGTTTCCTTCTGGCTGCTCCCTAAGCCTTGTTTTTATTATTTTTTTGCAGGTTTACGGCCAGGGGTCTGGCCTGGACTGTAGGCACCATGTCCAGAAATTAAACTTGCTGCAGGGCGAGGCAGAGGAAGCAATTGGTTGGACATCTCGGTAGAGCGTTTGATCTTTATCCGCTTGTTTCTTTTGATGTGCTACCGTGCACGTCTTTGCACATTGGGTGCCTGTTACCTAATATGAGCTCACAGGAGGGTTTTCTGTCCTGTTGTAAAGCCATGACATGTGCCAGTTTTGTTGTCACCACATAGGAACAAGCTATTTGTTGGGCGTAGTGTCCTGGCATGCTTCTTTTGACAAGGAATTTTTTTCAGATAAGTTTAGTTGATCAATAGTGCGTGTTAGTCAGGCTTTTACCCATTAAAATATATGCAGTAGAGTTTGGTTTTTTTTCTTTTAAACTGGTCTTTCTTATTTACTGTTTGGTGAGCTGGCTGTGGAGGTGTCCATCTTACAGACTGACAATCAGTGCAGAGGTGCATCCTCAGAGAGAAAATATCCTCCACTCTACGCTGTTGCTACCTAACTGTTGGCATTCAAGGGTTTCACATTGTGAATCTGTTGAGTAATCGCTGCTGCTGTTGATAAAAAGACTTGTTTAGTGCAAACATTTGGGTGTAATTCCTGCTAGGCTGGAAAATCTGGATAGCACTTTCCTGTTTATTTCGTTCCTGAATCTGTTTAGAAATCGCCTAATCTTGAACTGGTCTTGAACTGGTCCAGCTTCCTTTTTACTCAAGGTTATTTTCAGAAATCAGTCAAAGCTAGTTAGATAACTTAGTTGTGTATATGCAGTGCTTCAGGGTTAAGCTTTGGGAAGAAAACTCATTGTTTGTTCACTTTATCAAAATGGTTGCTATTTCTATTCTCAAAACATTGTGAAATCCAAAACATTGTGAAATAACTTCCCTTTTTCCTTGGTTGCTTGGGATATAATTAGTGGGTTTAAGCTGTTGTCCCAAAAGACAAGCTGTTATATCCCTAGTTATGATCAATTAGAATTTATCATTTCATGATTAGCGGCTTAGGGCTACCCTCTAACTGGATTTTTTCAAGTATTTGGGCAATATCTCTTGCAAATCCTTTATTTGACATCTGCTTTTCTATAGATCCTTCTTTTTCTGACATGCCGCCTATCCGGTGTTCCTATCCATGCTTTCTATCCAATCCCTTGTGCTATGACTAGCTGATTTGAAAATTATAAATCAACAGACAGAAGTGTGGTCTAGAAACTCTAGTTTCAACCTCTATTTTAGGCACCTAGAAGAATCTGTAAATGACAACAAAAATATAGCAGCCCAACATGAAGACAGTTTGGTCCAGCAGGTAAGATACCTACAAAGCTGAGGTAAATACCAACCCATACTGACCTAGATGAATCAAAGTGAAATCAGTGATCCCTTTATATGGGTTCAGACAGCTGAAATAGTGTATGTAATTGGAGAGGCTCCAGCAAAGAGAATGAGATGTGTACAGAAACTCTGCTCCACTGGGATACTGAACCCGGGAACACAATACGGGAACGTGTCCTAAACTGACTTGTGATTTGAGACGTTCAACACATGCATAACAATGCCAAAAATGAGGACCCTGTATTTTGCTGTTTTCAGTAATTCTCCAATGTTGTAGGAGGAAAGGGCAGAAGTCAGTCGCTGGAGTAAATATCTGGACAAGGACAGTGAGTATCAGGAAGATGGGGAGGAGGAGGCAGGTACAGAAAGACAACAGTTCTGTTCCCAGAGGAAGAACACTGTGGAAGAACAAAGGTACGGAAAGAACTTTTTTTTTTTGTAATTCCTGCCCCCGAGTGGTGGCATTTGGTTTGCAGGTGTGGGAGGTAGCTCATTTCTGATAGCTGAACAAAGTACAGGTTGCAATGTACGACCTGAGCTGAGCAGGGATTTGGTATCTGGGGGTAAATCTTCTCTTATTGCTAGAGCCATGCATTTTATGAATATTTCTGGTGATTTGTGAAAAGAATTCACAGTGGAGCTAATCTGTCCTCTTTGTCAATGGTTTTCTTGGCCAGGAAACACCGGAAGAGCTTCCTCTCCAGTGATGTTCAGGAGTATGCAGAAGAAAATGGAGTTTTCCAGCTTGCCTACCGAGCCAAAAAGGTTAAAACCTCTGAGGTATTTTAGTTGTAGAAGGTGTTTCCTACCAGTAAACCAAAACAGTGTTCTCCTGACCTCTTTTTGTGTCATCATAATTTTGAAGTTTTACGAGTCTCCATCTGCTCTTCTGTTTGAATGACTGGGGAGGAGAAGAAAATTGCGTCAGGAGTTTCTGTCTGAAAGGTTTTAGTCAGGCAAAAACAATGCCAACTTGTGTAAGCTGAGTGGTTGAGCCAGATTCCTCTATCAGCACAGTTGCAAACTATGCTGCTTTGCCTTACTGAACAGTGGCACCCATGTGGTATGCAGTTATTAAGGCTACTGTGATTACCTGCAGTGCCAGTGAAGTTGGCCTGAGTCTTCACAGCCCAGAGTTCATAGGTGCACCCAGCGCATCAGCCTCAGCTCTGCCTCAGGGAGCTGGTGAGAATTTGGGTGCATTTGAAGGACCTGAGTGCTCTTTCTTTGCCTGCTTCTGTGCAGCTTGGCTGTGCGTGCTGGATTTATAACCAAGCTCTCTTTCTTCTTACAGCGTAAGAAATGTTTAGTAGCAGTGCCTGATGAAGATGATGGAGATGCTGTTTCTGGAGACAGTATGGTTCCTGCTGTCTGTGAGTCTGTAGTGCCTGAGGAGAATACACAAACCCCAACTGCTTGCACCAAACCCTCAAAGTGGGAAAAATTTCTTTCATGTTCTGACAGCTATAGCAAAAACGCTGCCACGGTCACCTTGTCACCACAGGAGGGCAGTGGAAGGTTGGGGCTACACAGCACCACTGCAGCAGATGGTGGTATGGCCAGTAGATGCTCAGAACAGGCTGGAAGAACTCTACCTCAAGGAACAGGTTTTGAATTTAAAAAGTGTGTTGCTAGCACTGAGCGGCTTGCCTCGAAACTGCCTGATACCACGGTGCCCAGCACCAGTTGCTCAGTTGAGGAGGATGTGTTGTTCAAAGAACCACAAAGCCAATTGATAAGGGCAGGATCTGTTGTCTTAGAGACCACTGCAGGAAGGTGCTGTTTAAACAGCACAAGGAGGGCAAACACCCTTGTTAACTCTAACACTGGGCCAAAGCCTAGGAGTCTTTCTTGTGAACACCTCTTCTGCACAGGTGAGGAGTTTGATGATGATCTCTGAGAAGTTCAGGCATCTTTGGCATTGCTTTCTTGTTTGTATCTAGAATGCATGTGGCATGTTGAGTTCTGAGGCAAGATTTTGACCTGAAGATGGCTTTACTTTAAGCCTTACAGAACTGCACTATTAAAGTTGTTTACTTGCTCTGTGGCTGTGTTTGGGGGGAAGGGTATGAGGGGGTGGAAGAGACTGTTGCAGTGGGCAAGTACTAGGGTTACACAGTGTTGTCTAGCAACCTAGAATGGAAGTAGGTCAGCTTGGGGGGGATTCCTGGCCAGTACAATTAAATTCTGTGATTAATTCCCCATTACAAACTACAGCTCTTTTCCCCTGTGTTCCCTCTTTGTTTATATCTCCCATAGCAACCCTTTCTTCCAGAGCTGCAGAGCAGGCTTCAGAGCCAGCAAAGCATTTGATTTCTCTTCAGAAGTGTAGCCCTAAGGGGGTACACCAAGGTATGTGCAAAAAGGCAGGCCTACAGTCCTGGGCTGCCTCCCTTGCACAGGGATGAAGTCACATACTCAGCCAAATCCTTCCACTCTTAACTAATACAGCTGTGATACTTAAACACTCACACACACAGACTCATCACAGGAAGTAGTATTTATTTTTCCTCCACTCTACAAGCACTTAGGAACATGAGACAAACCCTTAGCAGGAAGAAAGATGAACCACTGAGTAAGTTGTACTGCATTGTTTGCTTTCAGTTAGAAGGAAAGTGCTTTTTGTTACACAGACTACTACAAGTGAGGTGGCTGCTTGGAATACTGGATGGCATCTAGTGCTGCCCCGATGTCGCAGTTCTTTGTCTGCAGGAGTCGAGTGAGCCATCCACCCTCATCAGAGAAGCCCATAGAGAGCATCTGGGACAGGGATTCAATGAGACAAGGGTCTGCTTCTGTTAAGAGAAGAATAGTTTGAAGTTGAAACATTTCATGTCATTGGCAAACCAGCCAAGGCTTTAATACCACACAGTAGGTAGGGTTGGCACTAATCGTAGTAAACCGAGGACAGCTGGTTAACTGCTAGAAGACATGCTCTCCTTTGTCTCCCAGGAGGGCAGATGTTTGAGATAAGGTACATAACCAGCTAAGAAAACTGCTGAGTCAGACTCAGCTGGCCTTGCTGTAGGACTCAGTGCTGTTGATCTCAGTTAAGTGGCCTGGCATACTGTTACTGGCTCCCACCAGAAAAATGCTGTCCTAGAGTCACAGATGTACTAGTCTGCATCCTGCATTAAAGGGCTCTCTTGGAGCCTATAGCCATAGCAAGGACATGATTTAGGATACCACCTTTTTTCATGTTGCTCGAATGACATATTAGTCTAAGGTCAGCAGTCAACAATGTTAAGACTTGCTGTCCACATTCAAGAGGAGAACCACCTGACTGTCTCTAACAGGGTGCAAGAGCTGCCATACCTGCTAACAAATTTATGGAAAAGTTTAGCTGTAACTTATGTGACCTTGGTTTCTACCATCTCTAAAAGCAGGTCTGCTTACATCAGGCAAGTTGGCAGTTCCCCAGTGAAAATCACTGTTATGAAACCTGCATACATTCTCATACCTGGTGGGAGGTGTGGGTAGAGTGCAGCTTCTCGCAGTCCTGTAGGCCCTGGTTGGGGAGGATCCTGAGATACATCCAGGGAGCTGGGACCCTCTGCCTCTGGCATTTGCAGAGACTGCAGTTCACCTGTGGAAGGATCCACTTCTTTGGAAGATAAGTGGGTCCAGTCCTCATCACCCCCTGATGAACTGCTGGACTCACTGTGTTCCTGAAACGGAAAGAAAAAAGGTCCAGGCACTGCAGCGCTTTCCAGGTAGGACGCATGCTCCTACTATCTGCCTTTAATATGAAGAGTTACATCCACAAGAAGTCCCACCCTTCACTGTAAACCTGTAAAGCAAAGGTGCTGTGTATCACTTAATCTGCTGACATCTTAATATTCAATCCCACAATGCATGCTAAATGATTATCTTCCTTTCTAGTAAAGCCTCAGCACACATATTAAATTAGTGCCATAGTTCTTGTACCTGGGACTGGAAGCTGCCATCTTCCATTTGTGTGGGCACAGGATCGATCACCATGTCTTGTATCTGCTCTGCAACAGCATTTACTTCTGTAGCAGAATCTGTGCTATTCCCTTCTGGTTTCGTCTGAACATTCTCGTTAAGAGTACTGCTGCTTGACTCAGCACTGTTCTTCTCTTGATTGGGAGAAGCAGGAGTCACTTTGCTTCTCTGTCCTCCGTGTTCCACATCAATATCAACTTCAATACCTAGAAATGCATTTGAGATGGAGAAAGCCTTCCAGAGATTTTTCCAAAGCACAGTCCTAAAAGAGCATGGATCAGTCCTAGTCTAAATGCTGTAAGGTTTCTGTAATACTACAGTTTGCCATGTAACATGTAGGAATTAAAATGCAAAGCATTTTCTAAATAAAGAATAGTTAAGCACCAAATAGTCATCTTCCTCGAGATAGAGAAGCCATACATTTAGAGGGTCAGGGCAGAAGTTACCTATGTCCACATAAGCCAGGCAAAATCCTGAGTCACCACTGACTTAGTGTTACAGTGGTGACATGTTAATGAAATCTTCTCTCACTTCCTTCCAAAGGAGGGCTCTGAAAAGGTACTGAGTGGCTCTTCTAAGCCTAGGCATTATTAGTACCAGGAGTAAATTAAGCCTTCAAGGCTTAGTAGCATGAGGTAGTTCCAGTATCAGTCACAACAGCTGACTGCTGCTCCTGTTAAAAGGACCTTTAAGCCAGTCTCAGGGATTGGGATAACAAACTAAGTCACTTACCCAGGGGACTCAGAAAAGCTGCAACACTCTCCCCAACGTTCTTTAAGAAGGTGACGTTGGGGTCCTGAGGCTGGCTGTTAGTAGAAGCTTCTAGAAAAACAATTTCTGTTAGCGCACAT